GTCCCAGAAGCAATTCTCCATGTGATACAGCGAGGGCTTACTTCCAGGTAAATTAGTATAGGATTGCAGTCTCAGGTTCAATACCTATGCACAGTTTCCTGGCAAAAAGTCTCATAAAGCTTGGTGAATCATATATGAGTAGACTTGCATAGGTTCTTGAACACTTACATATGATTTCATAGTTCTTGGGATCTTAGCCTTTTTGTGAATGCTTATTATTCAACTTATTAAAATTTCATGCACTACAAATAGTTATTCTGCACAAAGACCTTATAAAAGCTGTGATTTTTAAAATAGATGCATACAAAAAGAAATGCTCATCTCATCTCATCCAGTTAAACACTGAAATACTCTCTTTTGAAAGAAATATTTATTCAGTTCATTGAACCAAATGACCTTCACAAATCAGAATATCTTAGAAAAACATGCATGCATTCTTTTTAACATATTTCTTTTATGCCTTTAAGAGAGAACTCACTATTTTTAACACATTTTGCAAAGCCACTGTTGCTTTGTGACCCTCAAAGTGCTGCAATTATTATTTTTTAGGTTATATTCCCTACCTTTAACATGCAGCCCAATGAGAAAATTAGATTTCGGCAAAAAGCCCAAATCTCAACTGAATAGATTCACTGAGTTATAACAATATGAGACAAGGATAACTAGTATATATTATGGTACAATCAGTAAGGAGCTACTTTCAATATGAAAAGAATAAGCTTTGTTCCTTGAGCAGCAATGAAAATTTGATAGTATAAAATTAAATTAATATTTATAGTAGCCTGGACTAGCAAGGAAGCTCCATTAATGCCTTGTGTAGAAAAGAAGTTTTAAAATGTTAACATTTTAAATTGGCTCTTTATTCATTATTTAAAATATTTCTCCTTAAAAGGACTCAAGGTGGCTGACAACAATTAATTTCTGAAGTTGCTTAGTAATCTTTGAAGCTGCTTAACAGCAAGAGAACAGTGGCTAATAGGTGCATGCATGTTGGGAACTGTGGTGTATGATCTCATTTCACAGTATATTATGACCCGCCCCCCCATCACAGTCCCTATTTCTGAAAAACCTTAGCTATAATTTATTGGAGGAGGAAAATAATGACTGAGAAGGCTTTTGGAAAAGGAATAAAGCCACTAATGGAAGTGGGATGTTTACCCCCAAAAGCTTGCAATTTGTGTCATTTTTCAGTGGTTCAAAAAAGGTATCACTCTACTCTTGCAATTTGTGTAATTCTGAACCTCATGGCCTTTTCCTAATTTTCTATGAATATTGTTGCTGACTTGTATTAATAGAATGCTGTAGAATTACAAATACAAAACACTTTCTCCTAATAGCTCTGGGGCTGTAAAGTGACAGAATGAATTTTCTACTTAATTGCATTTATAAGGCTTACTTCCTCTAAAATGTTCAAAATGGAGTATTGTGTAGACTCTTACCTCAGCACTATGGAGAGCCAAATGAACAGCTGATTTTCTGCCACTACTTTCAGAGCCCTGCTGGGACAGGAACAAAGCATGCATGTGGACAGCCCTGCACTTCTCCATCCTGTGTATTTGTCTCTTGCTGTATGCTCACCTCCACCTCTATGAGACCAATAAGAAGAAATCATGCATTCCAGCTCCAGATTAACAGGGATTTTTTTTGGACACTGCCAATTATGAGCTCTGCAATAATTCTACTGTACTGTACGTATCTCCCAGATATTTTTTTCTTCCTTTACAGAGCCACCTAAAAACTCATTGCCATGTTGCTCTTGTGGCAATGAATTAAGGAAAGGTCAATAGCAACTTTAAAAGGATTGTTTCCTCAGTATAATTAACATCCATGTTATTCTACCATTGTTATTCATGTCAGAGGTCCTTACATCCCTTACAGCACAAGCCTCAATGGAATATACCTATGTATCAAAGAGGTTAAATAGCCATTGGCTTTCTTATCAACCAACCATTCATGATTTCTGTATTTTGATGCCATGTATAAATATTTACCATCATATCTCCTTCTTGTATGTCTGAGGAAGTGCACTTGTCCACGAAAGCTCACATAAAAATATAACAGCTTTTAAGATGCCAACAGGTTTTTGTCTTTTTTTATTTGTTCTTTTCTAATTATTTTGTTTTTACCTAAAAATCTAGGAGAGTCCCTGGTGAACAAGGGAACTTTGGAGCCTGTATATTGGGATGGTCTGTTTGGCCTTGGGACTACTTTGGCCCCAAGTCTATTTTTGTCAGTCCTGTAATGCTGTGCCGCACCCAAAAAAAATCAATTTAAAAAAGACAGTTTCTACTCATGGAAATCTCCAGATGTTGTGACTTTGCAATAAAATAGGGGTGTTGAGCTCCTAAACCCAACCTGCAAAAATGAAACCAGAAATAACTTCTAACAATAGTACATTTCAAATTGTTGACGCTTTTGCTCATTTTAGGTCTGGTGGGTGCTGGGGTCAGAAAATTCCATTTTCCATAACATATACAACCTGTTGCAGTCCCACCATAGAACACTGAAAAATGTTGCTTGTGGAGAAAGAAGATAACCTATCCAGTGCTTCTAAATCTTTAAAAACCATGAAACAAAGCAATAGCTGCCTATTCCAATATTATGTGGAATTGTACAATTTGTGCAAAAATTATTCTCACCTGGGAGAGAAATATCATCAATAATGCCAGGAAGTCCTGACAGCGATGCAGATAATGTTGCAGTTCCTATTTACATTATCACTACAATCAGAATGTTTTCATTATTTTTAAAAGGTATAGGGAAAGAGTCAGTCTTCCTATTTGCAAAAGGGTACCCTCTATGTTATTTAATATGCTAGAATTTCTGACTATCAGCATGCTTTTTAAATTGCAGCTTTCTTTAAAAGGTCAAGATAAAATTCCTACCTACAGATATAATTTCAAGTTGGCAAATCATACCTTAGTATGAGGAATTGATTTATTTATTTATATTTTTATATGCCACCTTTATCTTCAGAAGGGACCCAAGGCAGCTCATAGCAATTAAAACTGTACAACAATTATTTAAAATACAATTCTAAATTAAACATTGAATTAAATTAAAAATTAAATTAAACATCAAGATTCAAAACAACTATATTTTAAAAAACATTTCAAAATATCTAAATTTCACAAACACAGTGTTCCCTAGATCCCCACTCATTGCTTAAAAACCTATTATCTAATGTTATTTCAACTCACTATTGTTGACATTGATATATTACTGAATATTCTCTGAGAATCACAGATGGAAAAGGATTCACCTTTCATAAGCTAAACTATAAAGTATTTAAACATTTTAAGTGCAAAATTTCTTCCTTTCCTCCTCCTGCTTCTTCTCTTCCTTTTCACCAACTATTCAAACGGGGTTCTTTTCCATGATGTTGATGGTGCATTTTTTAAATTAGGAAAACAATTTGCATAAACCGTAAAAAAAATCCAAAAAGAATACCCAAAAAGAGGATGACAACAGCAACAAAAGCAGGGAGTTGGATAGCTAACAACATTGCCATGTGAATGCTTTTTAAAAAGTGAGTGAATAAAACAGCAGTTTCAAGAGAAGGAGAATGGAAACATAGTGACAGAAGAGGAACTGAAATCTGTGTCCATACACAAGAAGGCACCCAACAATCATGTTCCCAGAAAACCCTGAGTAGGTCACAGATAATTGAAATAGTTTCAGATATAGACTACAAAGCAGGGATAGAAAATATGTGGCCTTCTTGATGCTGTTTGACTGCAGCTCTTGTTAGCCTTCAACAATAGGTATTCTAGCTAGACCTGATGGGAGTTCGTCTTACAACCCCTGGTGGTCTAAAATGCCTACTTTACAAGGTTAAAAATAGATAAATCCTCTATCAAACAAAAGCTCTGGAATCTTGCAATGATCTGGGAATTACCGCATTGTTTCACATAGTAAATGATTCATGAGTTATTCGCACTTACCCAAATCTGAAGTTTTACCCTCTTATCATTCCTGTAAACAGTTTTCACTTTGAAATCAATTCCCACTGTACTGACAAAGGCTGGTGTGAAAGTGTCATCAGCGTATCTGAAGAGGAAGGAAGTCTTTCCCACACTGCTGTTGCCAATGATCAGGAGTTTGAACATATAATCGAAGTTCTGGTCCGAAGCATCCCTGTGTCCATATCTGGCATCTGTTACGGAAGCCATCTAAGAAGACAACACCAAATGTAAGCTTTAATTTATTCAGTACAAATTATGTTATTTATGATGCCCATTTGAAATATGCATCCCCAGCCTTCAGGGCTATCAGGGTTGACACTAACCAACAGTGTCAACTCTTATAGCATTTAATGCTGAACTTATGGCTCCACCTGACAGCTATATGTATAGAGCTTCAGCTAGGGAAGTGCCTTCTTTTTCATACATGTAGGTATGCCCAACAAGGAGATCTGAACATGGAAACCTGCTTTGATTTGTACATACTTTCATTGCAAAGAGTCATATGTGAATACAGTATATTAACTATTTCTGTCTAGATTTCCAAATAAAATGCTTGTGTACATTATTTTGTATGATGGGATCTAGATTTAGTCAGACTATAACAAATTAAATAAATTGGATCTAATTTGGTCTCATTAACTTGAGTGAACATGATATTTAATATTTTCCCTTTAAGTCTGGTTATTGTTGTTGTAATCTGACATGGCTGGTTGCAGGTAATTGACACGATGCTAAAATGTATCTCAATTTTTTTTGTCTGGTCACTCACCTAACTGCAAAGCTGAGATGTGACCTGGTGCTTGGTCTATTAGCCACAACTGATTATCACAAGTGATGTAAATCTTATGCAGAACCCATCGAATACCGGCCATAGACTAACCAATATTTGATTTCATGTGTTGGCAGAATTTGTGATGCATATGAAAATGAGGATGTTTTAGAAACACAGCTAAATCTTTTCCATATGTGCTATTGTTTACTCTGCCCCTAGGATTAATTAAGACCAGCTAACACATTTAGAAGATTTTAAATCCTGCCTGCATTAAGCACTAACATGAACTGAACAAACTGAATTTCACTACTAGAATTCAATATCCTTGGCTAACATTTTATAAAGCGGGGAATGTCCACTTTGTGCCAAGACTAGGCAAGCCCAACTGGCTTCCAGAGTGTCTGAGTGTCATCTTAACTAGCCAAAATGGATGAAGGTCAGCTGAACTGATGTTGAGACAGTTGAAGTTACGCTGAATCCAAATCTTCCCAGCCTAGAGATGCTGTAAATTAGTGGATTATACAGTACATTTATACGGTGCTTCTACAGAGCCTGTGTCCTTGAACTGGAGGTGGTTTGGGTACAGCACACCTTTGCATCTCCCTTGTTCCATTCCTTCTCTGTCCTTTATTTTGGCTCTTCTGCCAAGATCTTAGCCAGCAGTTCTGCTGACAGACCCCCTACAGGTAGATCTCCTTAAATCAGTCAGCAGAAGGGGATTCTGCTGGCATAAGAACATTTCTGCTATCGTAAGAGGCTTCTGCCTAATCCATACCATCTACACTTGACACATGCTTTAGTTAGAACTACTCTGTTTCTGTATTATTCAGCTGTATTGTGGAGCTTAGGAAACTGCTGTCAATACTGCGTCAATCCCGTGTGCACTAGAAATGCTATTCATGAGTCTGTATAAAGAGGAGGGTTGTCATATTTATCATTCTGGTGCCATACTTTTACTGTTTCATGGGAGGGAAAAAATCCAATAAAAACAATACATGTGGTCCTTCTTTTACAGGAATTCACGAGTCTATAAGAAGAAGGGATCCCAAATAAGATTTTGTTTGCTGGGATACTAAATAGCGAGGGTGGGATTTTCATGTTGCCATGAATGTTATCGACACAAAAGAGGCTGTTAGGTAGGAGGTATCGAGACCTTGAATGATGCCCTTCTCCACTGGGTGAAATTGCACAGAGGACTGGTGCAGCTGAGATTGAGGGGAGGGGACAGCCAATCTCCTCCCCTCCCCCCCCTATGGAAAGCTGATGCTGTTACCTAGGTCATCATCTTGATGTTCCCACTTGATAGGTGGAGTGGCGTGTCTAATGACAGACTACCCAGATATTGCCCTGGAGCCCTACAGCACACAGTCCTTGGAGAACAGGGCACAGAAGAGGGAGGTGTGGCAAGCCGTGGCTCACACTGCCATACTTTTATTTTGGCCATGCAGCTGCTGTTCTGCCCCAACACCACCAGCATGGAGAGTGAATGTGTCTTCTTCATGCTGGGGATGTCAGGAGGCCACATTGTTCCCACTTTCTTAGTCAGAGGGTGGAAGAAGTGGTTTTCTTCACTGTTACTCTGCCCCTTCTGGGTGATCTGACTTGGCCCAGTATAGGAGACTGGTCAGCATCATGAATGTCACCAGCCACATGCAAAATAGGGAGGACATGCTAAGGTAAAAATCCCTCTTCGTATCAAAGTCTCCCTGTCGCTACTCCAAGTCTAGGAAGAAACAGAACAAAGATCTTCTAGGTGTGCAGAAAAAAACAAGTTGGAAATGTTTTTCCCTGCCTGTAGATAAGAAAAAGTAAAAAAAAGAAAGAAAAGAAAAGAAAAGAAAATTAAAAAAGCAAAATTGGTAGTCTACCAAGAGACTCAGATAGGTGCCCTGAGGGGAAGAAAATTCCCAGAGCCTAAATGTAGTTAGATGAAGATATAAAGAAGAAACGTTTTCCCCAAAAGGGGGTCTCTCTCTAGGTGTAGAAAACAGAACAGAACATTTGTTAGGTCTCTCAATCTGTATGTAGGAAAGAAAGATAAAGTGAAAAGATTTGCCTAGCTATATGAAAAATAAAAATAAAATAAAGGTTAGTGTTTTCCTTGCTTTTAAATGTAAAATAAAACAGAAAAGGTCTTCTTCCCACTGCAGGATTAACATAGGTTCCACTATTACCTCCCAGTCTCAGAGATATTTTAAAAGGTTTATAAAGTACAGCCAGGAATTTTAAATGTCTCTTTCCCTTCTTGACCCCTGATTGTAAGAATGCAGAGCACACAGTGTACAGCTTCATGCCTGTGCTGAGGGCATGAGGTGCAGAAAAAAAAACATTGTTTGCAGATGACTGCATTGGTAAATTTGCATCTGCCTTGGCAGGATGAAATTGTGGGTGTGCATTTGAAACTTTTAGAGCAGGGGTCCCCAAACCCTGGTCCGTGGCCTTGGAAAGACCAGGCCACCAGGGCAGATGAACAGTGAGCAGGAGGTAAGTGGCTAGCAAAGCTCTGCCTCCTGTCAGCGCTGCTGATCTAACAGCTCACCTCCTGCTCACTGCTCATCCATCCCAGCACAATACATGTAACGAGCCTGATTCAAAGCTATCCTCCAACAACCTACTGCATAACAAGTACCCTCCCCCCCAAGTCCTTGGGAGAATGGTCTACAACTAAACTGGTCCCAGGTGTCAAAATGGTTGGGGACCACTGTGTTAGAGGACAACCACAGAAAATAGGAGTCTAGAATGGTAGAAGATGAGGAACTAGGAAGGAAGGAAGGAGCTGCTGTGCAGTGCTGCCTGGCTTGCTTGCTTGTCAAGGCTCCCTCTTTATAGCCAACTAAAGCTCCTCCACTTATCCTGACGTGGCTCAGCCCAGGGAGGAGTCAGATGTGGCGAAGGCTATGGAACCTTACTGGAACCATATCACTCCCAAACATTGTCATCTACTCAGATTAAGCAGTTTCTGCAGGGAGTCCAAAAAATCCACAAGGCTAAGCACTTAGAATACATGCCAGCTTTGCAAGGTAGCTACCACCACACCCACACAAAGACTGGAATCATGGTAGGTGGCCGTGGCAAGACCAGGTTTTAGTACCATCAACCGTCTGAGCCAACAACCTAGACAATTAGTTGAAGAGGTTTTTATACTTTATTAAAAGAAGGAAAGGGGTAAAAAAGGACAAAAGGCAAATGTTCCAAAAAGTTACAAAAGGTTTCAAAACATATTTGATGCAAAATACAGATTCTGAGCCAAAGTTTAAGCCATAAAGAGATACACTGTAAAATAGCAAAGCTAATTGATCTGTGTGTGTGTGTGTGTTGATCTACCTAATAGTAAAGGTTCCCCTTGTGTCATGTCTGACACTAGGGGGTGGTGCTCATCCCTGTTTTCAAGCCATAGAGCCAGCGTTTGTCTGTAGACAGTTTCCTTGGTCAAGACATGGAATGCCATTACCTTCCCACCGAGGTGGTACCAATTTATCTACTTGCAGTTACATGCTTTTGAACTGCTAGGTTATCAGGAGCTGGGACAAACGACGAGAGCTCACACCATCGCGTGGATTCGAACTGCTGATCTTTCGACCTTGCAGCCCAGAGGCTTGGTGGTTTAACCCACAGTGCCACCACATCCCTAGTCTACCTAATACTCACACCTTAATGCAGGATCAGTGTAGTTCTTAGGCATGCAAAGGGTACATCTTAGTGAGAATGATCCATTTAATCAGATTTCTGAATCCTTTGTTTGATTAGGCATTCTTTAGTCTTGAGAGACTAGGGCAATGTGCTCTGAATAGAGGACTTGGAACAGCATCTAGTGTGGCTGAGAAGGCCAATATGACAATCCCTTCCCCACTGAAGACAAATACAATGCTCAGATGTCAAGGTTTTCCATTTGTTGAGGTCCATTCCTAAGGCCTTCAGATCCCGGTTGCAGAAATTGCAGCTATGGTCTCCCTCTGGGGCGCTTTCCCTGCACTAATTCTCCATACAGGAGATCTTTTGGAACCCGACCATCAACCCTTCTCAAGACATGCCCAGGCCAACGTAGATGTCGCTGTTTCAGTAATGTATACATGCTAAAAATTCAAGCTCATTCTAGTATTTGGAACTTTGTCCCGCCAGGTGATACAAAAATGCATTGGAGACAACGCATATGGAATGTGTTCAGCTTCTTCTCCTGTCGTGCACAAAGGGTCCAGGACTCACTGCAGTACAGGAGTGTACACAGGACACAGGCTCTATAGACCTGGATCTTGGTATATGCCATCAGCTTCTTATTAAGCCATACTCTCTTTGTGAGTCTAGAGAAAATGGTAGTTGCTTTGCTACCATGTTCTTTTTATACATTAAACAATCCATTCAAGAAGTATCTTAATCAACACCTTAAACCTCTTTCATGCTTACCAAAGCAAAAGCACTTTCTTCCCCTCTTCCTTTC